CTCAAAATGTCAAATGCTACATAAGCATAAGGATCAGAACAATTTCGATGCGATAACAGGCAATCTGTAGAAACAGAGAAATTTTGGTTCAAATCAACAGAAGGGACTAACTACTGACACTATCGTTAACCTTGAGGTGTGTTTAGTAAACAGATAGATTAGGCACGAAGTTTACGTCAAACCGAAAATGTTACGTTTTTTCGTCATTCTTTGTTCAGCTCATCAGTGAGGTGAATAAATGTTTTGAGTTCTAATCAGGTAATCATGCGGAGAACAAACTTCGTTTCATTCAAATTTCCAAAATTTCTTCCAGGTATAGCTCTGGGGACATCCTGTGAAGCCTCACAAAAGAGCCCTCGAGTCAAAGCAAGGGAAATTTGATGAAAACGGCTGATAACTTCGGAAGTGTTCAGTTATCAACTGAGGCGGAAATTGGGCGAGATTCCACACCTGAGTGGCTTTTTCCACACCACATCAGCACAAGTTATCATGGTATGGTATCGCCAAAGAATTTACTCCAAATTACGTTCAAGTTTATTATTTCACACTGTTTACAGAAAAAATAACTTAACATAACATGATTTACAATGATATAGAAAAACCTCAAACAGAAATTAACCAGAAGAAAGAATATTTAATCGTGTACAGTGCCAAAGTAGCTAATAAGCTTTCGAGTTGGTCACAATTACGGCTTTTAATCAGTAATTATCGGAGTAAGGTACGTGTCTTGTTCGGCAACGTCGCTTGACTGTTTATTAGAAAATTGAATAGTCCGCCATATAGAGAATTGAATCTCCCGGAAACTCGTTTCTAGTCTTCCTCGGTTATCCTTCTCGCATTAGGCAAAAGCCCGAAGACTATTCGTACAGGAGTTTCTAACATGGTTTAGGTGCGGGTAGGATGTGGTTGATCTCTATTTTGAAAGACTTGTTTGACGTTTCTTAGCGGACGATTTTCGCCAAGGTAAAGTCATTTGTTTACCAATATACATACTTTTCAACTTGATTCATGTTATTGCTATAGAGGGTCTTGTCTTAACCCTCGTAGCTTAGTGCTTCGGTCAGCACTTCCTGTTTGTTGAAGAGATGCTCGTATTTTTTCGAATTGGAGCTCATAGTTACCCTTGAGGTCACTGTATTCAGTAGTTTTTTATGATGATTCACTTATTTGTTATCATTTTGTCGAATTTGGCTTGATTCGCTCGGCTGGTAGCTATTAAATATGTATTTTAAAAGACGAATGGCTTTGACTCGTGGATTTAGGTGCTCCTGTCAGCACCTTCTGCTTGTTAGTGAAATAGATGGTCGTATTTTTCGAATTGGAGCTCATAGTTGTTATTGACATCGCTTTATTCGGTAGTTTGTGATGTTAATTCACTTATTTGTTATCATTTTGCCGAATCTGGCTGAATTCGCTCGACTTCCAGCTGAAAAATATGTGTTTTAAAAGACAAATGGTTTTAACTCGTGGATTAGTGCTTCGATAACCACTTCTGCATGTTTTTGAGACATCTTCGTATTCGCCAACCATTCGCTTATTTTTGGTGAGACCAACACATAATGTTTTTACATTCATTATTATATATAATACTGTATCTCTTCCGTCTCTCGTAACTCATGAAAACATATTCTGACTGAAATCCTGAAAATTACAGTCAACTTTTGAAGGGCATCAGCTTTGCCTGGTGGCCCATCAGATCGCGGATGCCTGATGCCGTAAAAATTTTATTTTACTTCAATTAATACTAGCAAAACATTGAACAGTTTTTCAGTTCCCGTGGGATGAAAATCGATCAAAATACCGTTGTGGCTGAATTCATTTTGTGCTTCCAAACTAGAAATATGTTTTCAAAGTAGTTGTTGAAAATCAATTTTCTAGTTTACTGCTGGCTTGCTGTGATTAACATGATACATTCCTTAATTTTGAGCGAAAGGAACAACTGATGCATGTACCTTTACTCCAAAAACATTGAAAACTGCTGCTTATAAGCTGCCCCACTTAAAAGCGCTAGTCAAAGCTCTCAAGTCTTTCACATTGAGTGTGAGTCTCATGAAAACAAATTTAATTTTATGTTCTCAAGCTGAAACTATTGTTTCTTACAGCAAATCACGGCTTTCGTTAAATAACTTGAAATTAATTATCCTTTTAAATATAATTTACTCCTTGTTCCCTCTGACTTGCTTCAAAGTCTTTCCAGCAGTGGAAATGCTCACTTAAGACTAATGTATTCCATAGCAATTCATAATTTTCGGGGGTTAGTATGCCCCCATTTCCCCTAAGGATGGTGATGCCTGCTGCATCCCATTTGAAGGCTAATATGCAGGTGATAATCTCAGTCTTGAGGGTAGCAAAGGGAGGTTGTGTAGTGTGAGTGTTGTGGAATTGTGTGAGTTCCCCTACTTCATTTGACTTTTAACCTTTAGCACCCTAAGACATTAGTATTCATCATTATTCTCCACACTGTTCTCTTTACATTTCCTATGGAACAGACAAGGAGAATTTGTCAAAGAAGTATATTTGATAGTGAAACAAATAGAAGAGTCAGTTTAGAACATAAGAGCTACATTTATTATTTTATAAGTGTATAATTGATGAAAATCTTTCTTGGAAAAACTACATTGACTGTGTTATTGCTAAAATAAGAAAGACCATACAAACGATTGCTAAGCTGGGATACTTTGTTCCATCATCTGTCCTCCTAAATATCTATAAATCCTTAATTTTACCTAATATAACTATTAACTCACTGCTTGGGGCAATGCATCCAAAAAATATACTGTAAACAAAATTGGTCTCCAAGAGCAAGTATTGTGTTTAAATACTTTCCTGACAGAAAAGAACATGCTATCTCCTTATTTATAAATGCAAAAATTCTACCTATTGCCTTCCTCTATTGGGAAGCTGTAAGTAAATTAAAGCTTGATGTTCATAACAATAGAGCAACATCTAACATCATGAAAAGTTTTGTGAGAACATTAAACAATTACACCTATACTTGCTTATCAACATCACAACTCTTTAGAATTAAATACTCCAGGTGTCAAAATCTGGAATGAGATGCTTAATGAATAGAAAAATTTTTCAAAGAAATCCTTCTAAAAAGAAACAAAAGAGCTGGTCTCAATATTCTAGGGACTGAAAATTCTTCTTTCAAGCCTGATGAGATAATGGTTAAATTCAAACACTGCAAAATTGAAACAAATTAAACTTGCAGTTGTACAATATCTTTAGTGCACTTAGATACTCAACAACTTTTTATCTTTTACAATGAATGTCTTTCATTTTCCTTTTTCTTTTCTTGTGTATCTTTTAATCTTTTTTATGTAATATTTTCTTATTTACTGTCAACAAAATCTGCTAAAAATGTTCAAAATTTCATTTTTTCTCCTAAGTTAGAGAAACCATTTTAACTGCCTAAGAGCTTAATTTGCCAAACAAAAATCTTAGAAAGGAGGCAAGATATGGCTGAAAGAATGTTTTAGGAAACCTGTCACGTAGAACAAAAGGTGTCATAAATGCAAAGCCTTCCAGCAGAGTGTTGATGTTTTCTGCAGGCTTTCATCCAGGATCTTAATTTGCAAATACTGTTTACATCACATCTTGCACTGCATACTCACTGGGAATCTCTAGCACATTTGCAAAATGTTGAGTAATGAGAGGCTTCATCAAACAGCCTAAAACAGTCAACTAAAAGTTGGTGGAGAGAGCTCAAGCCAAAGAAATTGAAGTTAAGTTGTTCATTTTCCATGGCCCCAGCCTGCTTGATGACATTTGAGTTATGTGTAATTTACGTTTCCTTTTCATGAAATGACCTTTCAAATTTCAAAAGAGCTCTTTGTCAAGAGGCTTGCCAGGGGCTTTAATGTTGCATTGGTCAGCAGCATGACTACATTGACACATGCAATATTTCCCTTTGTCTAACCTCACAATAGATTTTCTCAGGAACTAATAAGAATATCGAAATTGCCTCACACACCTTGTTAGCCTGGAAGGCACACTATTTTGTTAACAGCAATCTTAGTAAAAAAATTGCCCTGCCTGGATTAGCACCTGCTATCTGCAAGTCAAAGGAGTATTTTGTATATTGAATATGAAAAACTAGATAAAGTGTGGCATGAGAAATTCAGAAACTTTTAAATTTTTGATGATCTCCTTAATTCTTATGACTCATACATTAATTTGATTCAAGGGTGATACTGTAAGGAGAAATTAGAAGCCAATCACAGCCTGTAATCTGCTGAGTAATACTGTCCAGTTTGTTTTGAGGTCTGGGGTAATGTGGAGGCGGGAATTCAGTAAAGCAAACACCATCAATGTTGTGTTTAAGTGCTTACATGTGCCTACCAAAACAAAAACTGTGAAAAGTTTTGCTGTTTCTGTAATCTTTACTTTATAAGCTTTACTGTGATGTATTTTTTCTGAGGTTTCTGTTGCAATCTAATCACATGTGTAATATAAGCATGAAAGTTTTCTGTGTACCGTTTGACTTCATCTTTGATTAAACTAGCCATGATCTTTAATAGTAGTACGATTAGGATGATTTTTCTGGAAGGCACCTGATTTTGTTGACAGTAACCCTATTATTTTGTAAATAAAAAAATTGCCCTGCTTGGATTAGCATCTGCTATCTACAAGTCAAAGGAATATCTTGTACTATATATTGAAATATGAGAAAATAGATAAAGTGTGATGTGAGAATCAGGAACTTTTTAAATTTTTGATGATCTCCTTTATTCTTGTGACTCATACATTTGATTCAAGGATGATACTGTAAGGAGAAATTAGAAGCCAATCACAGCTCTTAGAGGTTAAAGGGTTAAAATGGAAGATGCAGCAAACTTATTTTATTGATCTGTTGTGTGATATTTAACTCATTTTTTGAGGGCTGTAATATTCTGGTGTTGCAAAGTTATAACAAAGTAATGGTTTCAAGGTGTACTCTTTAAATGTTGCCGTCCATGTATTAATTATAAGCATTTCTTTACAGAGGACTTGATTTCATGGCTTCTGCCACCCCATCACATCCTTCTACCAAAGAGACCTCTAATTATGCTTGGCTCTGTTGCCTTCTTGTTGATGTTGGATCATGTGTGCTGAGGGAGATCTTTGACAGAATATGTCCACCAGGAAATCTTCACACAGTTCTGAATGATCCCAAAAATCATGCAAAATTGCAAACACTGCGAAAGAAGAGAGTCCTGAGTACCTCCCAGTGGCGAAAACTGTATCCTGCTTTCAAATCTTCAGTTTGCTCAAGGGACTTTGACACGTCCCTACTGGTATTTCTTCTGAGGAATATCTGGGGTCTGCCTCTCCCTGCCTCTGGCCAGAATGACCTTTCTCTGGTAACAGACACCACTCCAGCAGCTGACATCACTCGCATCAAGATCCTCAGAGACAGGGTTTACAGCCATGTTTCCAGTGGTTCAGTTGATGATTCAACCTTCATTTCCTACTGGAATGACATCAAAGACACCTTTCAGCGTATTGGTGGGGTCCGCTATCAGGACATTATTAATGATCTTAAAATTGATTGTATGGATGCTGATACTCAGAAGGACTACCAGGAGCTTTTCAGAGAGTGGTTGAAGGATGAAGACTGCATCACAGACAAGTCACATGAAGATGAAATGATAAAAAAGGCCAGGTGGGAAAATGACCCTGAGGGTTCCATTGAGATATACGAACAAAGTTCAGGGAAGGAAGGTTTGTGCACTTTACTTTTGTTGATTTTAAGGTTTAAACTTTCTATGTTGTATCAACAATGTTAGATATAGTGGATCATGAAATAAAAGGAATTACTTCCAAAATTTTTGTTTGGAAAGTCATAATATTATGTACACTGTATATCAAAATGAAGTTTTGTGTATTTTTTTTCTTGATGATGTGAATGAATATTATTATATGAAAAATTCATGGCTGAGGTATAATTTTGTACTGAAGATGATAGATTTTAATCCTAATTATTTGAGTGAAAGATGATGTTACTCAGTGAATGATACCACCAATGCAAACTCAGAGAAAAAAGGGGAGCACTCAGAGGTGTTTTTTTTTCTTCAAGTATACCTGTCTAATTTTGTACTGTTTAATCAGTTAGTGTGGACTTAAAATGTTTTATGCAGGGTCAAGGATGCATTGACTTAATTGTTATTCATAACTTGTTTTCTTTTCTTTTTCTTCACTGCAGTCTTTTGATTTTCATTTGGATCAGCCACTAAGTTTTAATAAATGAATGGAAACAAAAAAAATATTAAAAACTACATTCTTCTTTTCCAGAAGCAGTCATGATACCAGGGGAAAATATGTCAGCACAGAATAGCAATGCAAGCCCACCAGAGCTCAATGTTACACTTCCATTGATGAGTGATCTTCCTGAAACCTCATTTGCTTGGAGCAATGTTGAACTTCCTGTTGATATTCTTTTATTAACAGCGGAGGACTGTGAGTTCTTAAGTTGCTTTGCTTACCTGAAGGAACCCTTTAAGAGTTACCACATCAGTTCTGGCTATGTGTACTTTGGGTGCATGGGTGATGATCAAGGAAAGAAAATGAAAATTGCATTGATGAGGTGCTCCAAAGGTCCTGATGTTCCTGGGGGTTCTTTGTCTGTTTCAAAAGATGCCATCTTACTACTGAGACCCAAGGCTATTTTTTCTGTTGGTGCCTGCAGTGGTTTGAACAACAAAAAGATCAAGTTAGGCGATGTGGTTGTTTCAGCAAAGCTGATAATAGCTGCACACAAGACTCCTCCCAGCAGAGATATTGGTAACCTGATCAAACATGTGGCTGATGGGTGGAAGGCACCTTTACAAAATGCTGATGAATATGCTGCCAAAGTGCACTGTGATGGAGTGGTTCTGAGTATCTCAGAAGGAAAGAAAGATATAACTGGTCAACATCCTGAAGCAATTGCAGTTGAAATGGAAGGTGGAGGTGAGAATCATAATAATTCAAATAATTGATAAGCCAAGAATTTTTGCACATGTAGCAAAAGTGTTTTGAAAAACACTTCTCTGGCATTGTCTCTGCTGGTACAAGAAATAGCTTATACCATATAACATGCCCAGTTTGCAGGAATTATATATTGTGTATTTAAAGTGATTTGATGTTTGGCAGGTGAAGGTGACTAAGACTTCTTCTGGATAACTAAATTGAATGTGCTCCATCAGGATGTCATGAATTTTTTTAAAATTTGTGGCATGAAAATTGTAAAAAGTATTTTGTTAAATAGTTTGAGAGCTGAGGAATAGTATCACAGTCCCTGTTAACCCTGAAACTCCCATGGGTGACCAAGACAGAATTTCTCCTTACAGTATCAATAATTATGATAACAAGCAGACAAGTAATGGGAAAAGGAAAAAGTGTGAATTAGGGGATTATTGGTTGATCCAAAACTAAATTCTCCTAACTAACATTATAGGAATTTTTTATGACATACATTAACCCTTTAAATCCTAGAAGTGATTAACATGTAACTTCTCCCTGTAATGTCCACACATTATCCAGCAAACAGTTGGTGAGAATACTGAAACTCATCAGTTACGAGTTATTACCTTGATCAAACATCAAATTCTTGTAACCAATTTACAAGGAAATGTGTAGCAGGTAGAAGGAGAATTGACAATAAGATCTTGGGAGTTTAAGGGTTAAAGAGAATTACTAAATAGATCTTAAGTGTGAAAGGGTTAACTCTTACTGACAAAAGTTTGTCATTTGAGAAATGTTGAAAGTTACTTATGAAACAAGACAAAGCCTGAAGAATAATTTTACAGTCTCAGTGTAAATTTTTTTAAATTACTGGTTGAAAACAAGTAGGTTTCTGTTCCAACTTATGTCTTTCTGTAATGTGCATGTTTACAAGCAGCTAGAGTGTGAATCTTCTTGAGCTTTGATTGAACAATTATTTCAAGGATGTTAAGAAAATAAGCTTAATATAATATAATATAGTTAGCAGACATGAGTGTTTTTTTTTCAGGAGTGTATGCAGCAGCCCATGATTTTAAGACAGAATGGTTGGTAGTCAAGGGCATCAAAGACTTTGTAGAGGAAACACAGTCTTCTAGCGAGAAATGGAAACAAATTGCCTGTGTGATGGCAGCTTCTGTTGTGGCCAACATTTTGAATGATCCAGTCATAGTTCAAGATTGGCCTCACTTTAATGCAGGTATTGCTTCCTGTCTCAATCTTGTCTTTTTACAAGGATAGGTCTGACTTAGATCTAAGTTCCCACAGCATATTCTTTTATGGATTATAAATCAAGATGATTTATTTAGTGATTGTTCACAAATAGGAAATTAAGTCACCCATATTTTGAGTTAACATTCCAGTAGCTTAAACAAGGCCTCTTTACCCTTTAACTCCAAAGATCTTGTTAATAATTCTCCTTACTGTCTGCCAAATGATTCTCATTATGTTAGTTTGGAGAATGTGGTATCAGATCAACTAGTAATCCCATAATTATTATTTTTCTTTATTCTCATCACTTGTCTGCATGATATTGTATAGATATAGTAAGGAGAAATTCTGTCTTGGTCACTCATGGGAGTGGTGGGAGGAAAAAACTTGTAGTTTAATTGAGTGATGTAATGATGAATAACAATTCACTCCATGAGCCTGGTGAACTGGCCTGTATTCTATAGTTAGCTTGGTTTATGTAACACCACCAAACTATGGAGAATTCAGAGGCTAATGACATCTGCCAAAGTGATTTGAAGTTATTTTAAATTTTAGTTCTTGGGCCAATAGGCGACAAATCAAATTGTTTTAAACTAAAAAAATTGATTTATCCAATACTGCATGTGCGATTGTATTTTGATGTTGAAACTATTGGAATGGATGGGGAAGTGATAAATGCCAGCACACATGTTTATGGTTTTTTTATTTTTTAACCTTTTATGGAACCTGACATGTTATTAGTTTGAGATGAATAAATCAGATTTCAAGTAAATTTCTTAAGTAAATTGGTTTAAAGAGACAACATTACTTTTTTGTTTATTAATTCATTTAGGTGCCAATGAATTACCCTCTCAAGGTAAGTCCAACATGTTTTGATGAGTGTAATAATAGTGAACATGTGAATGATAATGATAAACAGTGAACTTATATGCCACTATTTTAACTCTCATAATCAGATACTGTAATCAAATGTTGATCCAGGATTTTTTTTTGAGAGAAGGGGGTCAATTTTTGTTTAGAAAACACAGGCTTTTTTTTTTTTTTTAATCTGAAACCACAATAGGCCAAGACTTATGTCTAGAAAAGTAATTGTTAAATGCTTCATATTGGATAGTAATATGTGATCCTGTTGTTTCAAGAATTTGGGTGTCAGACAGGTGGATCTGATGGGGGTAGAACAAGGACCTCTTGGAGGGGGGGGGGGGCCTTCCTCCCCAAACCACCACCGATTTTTAACTATTATAGGGTCCATGAGTTGGGGCTCTGATATCCAATACTGGAATTGTTTCTCTGTTAGACACTCGACTTTGAAATTTACATTCAAGACCAGGCTTCCAAGGTGTACAACTATTTGTGGTATTAATGTGCCTTTAGTTTGTTATACTTTTTTCATCAATAAGAGTTAGACCAATATAGCCTAAAATCTTTGTCTTAAGATCCTGTGTGTTAATTGAGCTGCCCTCAAAACAGTTAAACCCATTGGAGCAAGAGAGAAAGTACTTAAACTACTATCCTTGTGTTCATATTATTTATTAAGTTTGTTCCTTTTTTTAAATTTCAGCCGTAAGTGCCTATACTTCAGCTTTAAAGTCTTCAATTATTGGCCAAACGGAGTTCCAACCCAAACTGCTTGCCTCTCGCACGATTTCCAACGCGAAGACAGACGAAATATTCACTAATCTTCTCATACAACATGGAAGAAAAGCCCTGATCATGAGTAACAATGACGAGACATATTATTCAAGAAGTGAAGAGCTTGAGTACTACGGAAAAGTCAGCGGTACCCCAGTCAAGCACGCTAGTGAAATATTTCTTGGCGTGATTGATGATCAGGAGAGTGCTAATTCTATTCTTGTCGTTGGAAAAGCAGGGATTGGGAAATCCCTGTTTTGCCAAAAGGTGATTCGCGATTGGGCCAACAACGAATTATTTCAAGCACGAGAAAACACCGAAATCCCCAATTTAAAGTTTGTGTATTTGCTTACTTTCCGTCAATTGAATTTGCTTGAAAATAACTGTGTGACTTTAAGAGAAATCTTAAATTGTTGTTCGGCTCTGGATGACAAATGTAACATTGATGACTCTACATTTGAGTACATTTTAAAGCATCCCAAGGAAGTTATGATCATCCTCGACGGCTATGATGAGTATTCACAGCAAGATTACATCGCTGGAAACTTAGAAGAACAGCATCCCAATGACGCTAGACGTAAAATGCCGGTGGCCGCATTATGTTCAAAACTCATCAAAGGAAAAATCTTGAAAGAGACTATCGTCATGATTACCTCGCGGCCTGATGAATCGGACAAGATGGGAGGAATCCGTTTTAAACGATACGTGGAAATTGCGGGGTTTTCGTCAGAACAAGTGAAAGAGTACATTGAGAAATACTTCAAGAACAACGAAAATATGAAGAACGCTGTAATTAAACATGTCACGGACAATGAGAACCTTGTCAGTTTTGCTCATATTCCTATGCTCTGTTATCTGTTGTGCTTCGAGATGGAGTATACCCTTGCTGAATCAGAAAATCCTGATGACCTTCCTGTCTCAACAACCGACATTTACACCAAACTTGTTGATATCTTTGAACTTAAGCATTGCGCCGAGTCAGAATACAGACAGAAAGAAATTCCTGAGCAATTCAAGCCCCCTTCTGTCATCAAGAACACATTAGACAAATTATCAGAACTAGCGGCTAAACTGCTGCTTGCAGAAAAGGTAACTTTTGATGAAAAGGAGATGGAAGGTGAGTTTGAGCTGGAAGAAGTCAACAAACTGAAAGGTAGCGGTCTTCTTTACTGTGGTCAGCCTTTCAGGACTGCACTGATTACAACCACGAAGCACTTTAGCTTCACACATCTAACCGTCCAAGAATTCTTGGCTGCTCGTTGGTTTGTTAAGGAAAATTGTGTTCCATACAAACCATGCTCTGAAATGGTTTTCCAATTCATGGCTGGTGTGTTGTCAAATGAAGGAAACGAGAAACTGATGGAAAAATTATTAGATTCATTCTTTATGCATCGTAATCTTCAAATGAGGTGTCTGAATGAGTATCAAAACAAAGAATTTGCCAAAAAATTCATCAGGAATAATCCGCAAGCCTTTCGTAATTTAGACGGCGTCATGGCTTTTAAGGATTTTTCTGATGTGGACTGCATTGGAGTATCATTTGTGTTGGACATTATCAGTGAACTAAATAAAGAGGAAGCTGGAGAGGCACAACACAAATGTTCTGATGAGTTCGTCACAGTTGAGGAGTTAAAACTTAGCGAATCACAGCTAACACTGTCTGGAATACAACGAGTCTGTAATTCACTGAACAATGAACACTGTCTTGTGTGTGAACTGAACTTAGTCTACATTTACTTGACTGATGAATGTGTTGATGTTATTAATAGATTAGTAGTAAGGAAGTTAACCACATTAAGTCTAGTGACCACTAATATCACTAATACCGGTGTGGCCAGTCTATGTGAAGCTTTACAGCATCCAAGCTGTAAGCTAACCACACTAAATCTGGAGGGTGGTTCTATCACTGATACCGGTGTGGCCAGTCTGTGTGAAGCTTTACAGCATCCAAGCTGTAAGCTAACCACACTAAATCTGCAGGGTGGTTCTATCACTGATACCGATGTGGCCAGTCTGTGTGAAGCTTTACAGCATGCAAGCTGTAAGCTAACCACACTAAATCTGCAGGGTGGTTCTATCACTGATACCGGTGTGGCCAGTCTATGTGAAGCTTTACAGCATCCAAGCTGTAAGCTAACCACACTAAATCTGCAGGGTGGTTCTATCGCTGATACTGGTGTGGCCAGTCTGTGTGAAGCTTTACAGCATCCAAGCTGTAAGCTAACCACACTAAATCTTCAGGGTGGTTCTATCACTGATACCGGTGTGGCCAGTCTGTGTGAAGCTTTACAGCATCCAAGCTGTAAGCTAACCACACTAAATCTGCAGGGTGGTTCTATCACTGATACCGATGTGGCCAGTTTATGTGAAGCTTTACAGCATCCAAGCTGTAAGCTAACCACACTAAATCTGCAGGGTGGTTTTATCACTGATACCGGTGTGGCCAGTCTGTGTGAAGCTTTACAGCATCCAAGCTGTAAGCTAACCACACTAAATCTGCAGGGTGGTTCTATCACTGATACCAGTGTTGCCAGTCTATGTGAAGCTTTACAGCATCCAAGCTGTAAGCTAACCTCAATAAATCTGGGGATTAGTGCTATGACTGATATCGGTGTTGTCCATCTATGTGAAGCTTTACAGCATCCAAGCTGTAAGCTAAACACACTAACTCTAACGGAGAATAGCATTACTGATACCGGTATTGCCATTCTTTTTGAAGCTTTACAGCATCCAAGCTGTAAGCTAACCACACTAAATCTGGGGAATAGTTTTACCACTGATACCAGTGTTGCCAGTCTATGTAGAGCTTTAAAGCATTCAAGCTTTAAGTTAACCACACTAAATCTGCCTTCGTTTTTTATTTCCAAATATCGTGCAGTTCTTAAAGCTATAACTCAGAGACACCGACCAGCTTTAAACCTGTCTTTTGAGGTTCTTCCAAATCTTTTATAGTTTCATCAATTTTAAGTAGATTTTTATATTTAAACAAAATAAATAGTTGCAAGTCAAATCTTAATTTTGGGTCAAAGAGACTTACCAGGTAGACGAAGTATTTTTAATCACCAGAGTGAAAAACAACGCTTAATGTAAATAGAACCGCAAATATTTTGTAATAAAGGTTTTTTTTTTACTAGTGACATTGTTTACTGTACTTGGTTTGTGTGTGTAGACCACTCGAGTGGTGACAAGTAAGACTTGGGATCGGGGGAGGGTGGGAGGGTAATCTTCTGAGAGGCTACTGGGCATCTAAGGAAGCTTTTGGACAAGAACATTTAGTTAAAGTTTCTCGAGGTAAGAAAAAAGAGGAAAATGTCTTCCCGTTCACCCGATTCTGATTTAATTTTTGATGAAATTACACCCTTCTAAGTACTGCCAAAAAGAGATGGTTTTTTCTTTGTTTTTTTTTCAATAAGCAACAATTTTTCGTTTTAACTGTCCGCCATTACACTGTACCGATCATTGAAAAATATTTTTCATCCTCGTTTAAGTTGTTCAGCTTTGTTAAGTTAAGTTCCAGACGAATTACATGTAGAGACCTGGATCGAGAGATAGATTAGGAGGTTAAATTTCCCACCTGAGAACCCAGTTTATGTAGCAGGCACCACCGGTTTTAACCTTTTTGGAGTAAGTTGCCGTGGTGTATCCAAGCTCAGATTAGTTCCCAGATTGGACTTTTAATCTCTGGTTTCAAAATATAATATCTCGAGTCAGTTCTGTTAGTGCCGCTCGATAAAGACGCAAAATGGTGATGGGAACAGATTAAACGGAAAAATTTGGTTTTTTTTTATTGAGGTGGTATGTTTGGCGTTTTACAAAAACGGTGAACTTAATACTGAGTAAGTTTGCAGTAACAGTTCTTCTGAGAACCTCATGGCCACTATTGGAGACAGAAAAGTCAGTGCTATACTCGCTAAAATAAGAGACAGCCAAACGCTACTGATCTCGCCAATTACATCTCCCCAGAAAAACAGTCAGCCTCCAAACGTTCCATTGTGAAGGCACGCACTAAACGAGCCAGTGCAGAATGAAACGACGACTTGCTTTCGTCAAAACTAGCTTCCAAAAAGTACTAAGAGTTACCAAACGACCACGACATGCCTTTGTAAAAACCAACCCCTAAGCGTCTTAAGACGGAAGCGAGTTTCAACAACCTGCGGAACACAATTGCCTACATAGAGACACGGCGCGCAAAAACAAAGAAATTCTTTTTTGTTCTTGTATGGAGGGTTTAAAGGAAGGAAGAAGGAGTTAAAGTCGTCTGTCAAAACTGTACGAAGAGCATTATCAGTCAAAACCTTCGATACCAACAGCAGTTTTGAGAGACCTTATAAGACTGATTCATAAAGAAAACTCTTTCAAATTCAACCACAAAAACTATTTTTAAACACTCGCAAAATCTTTGGGAAAAAAATGACGGTAGCTTTTGCAGTCATATTCATGGCTCCTATTGAGAGACAGCTACAAACTAGCTACAAGCCCACAGAAACCATTTCTTTGGAAAAGATACATTGATGACAGTTTATGCGCGGACCATTCCCGAAACCGAAATCAACAACTTTATTGATTTTGCTAACTCATTCCGCGCCACCTTTAGATTCGTGAATGAAGAGTCATCAAAAAATAGTTGTTTTTCTCGATACTGAAGTGTTTTAAGGACCGAGGTTTACCGATAGCAAAATCGTTGATGTTTAAACATATTACAAGCCGACAGAAACGTTCCAAGATACACACAGTTATCTTCACGCCACCTTCTCAGTGTTAACCCTTTACACCCTAACATCAGTATGCAAACTCTCCACACTGTTCTCTACACATTTCCTAAGGTGCTGACAAAGGAGAATTAGCTTAATGATCCAGAGCTTCTGTGGTTGTTGATCATTTCCATAATTCTCATGACCTTAGTACGTGACTAAAGGGTAATATTGTAATGAGAAATTAGATGCTAGTCACTCTTAGGGGGCTAAACGGTTAAGAAGGGTTTTGTAAAATGAGAGGCACTACGCTTACTGAGAACAAACTCGGTTGAAGAATCTTTTGAGCTAAGGAAGAAAGAATTTTTATCTCGCCTTATAGAACGAGGCTACCCTCAGGACCTCGTCCAAAAGGTGTTTGCCGATGCACAGTTCTCATCACGCAACACGGCTATGAGAAACAAACCGAAATCATCTAAAAAGATTTTTCCGTTCGTTAGGACTTTCAACCCTGCTAACCAGAATGTCAAAAAGATTCTTATAAAACACTGGCACCTTATTTCAGGCTACATTAACCTGGTGCAAATATATCCTAATCCACCAATTGTTGCTTATCGGAAGGACAGGTCTTTAAAGTATTCTCTTCTTAGAGCACAACTTCCTTCACTTTAATTACACAACAGCATTTTAGAAGTTACACACGGTAAGGGTTTAATGGAAATACTACAAGACGAGGCAAGAATTTCATCCCTTCCATTCTAATAAATCCTACTTCCTCCGGATAACTCCTCCCTCGGATTCTGCGCTCCTATGCAACATGATAATGTATACGAGTAACACCGCTCTTCTAAGATGAGAGTTCGACCCCTTGAGGTGGGGGGTGGGGATTTTTGGTGTGTCAAAGGTGCTAAAAACGGCTATTATATGATACAGAACTTAACAGCAAACCCCTTTATCATAAATTGCAGAATTATTTTGTGACAAAAGGGACCTAAAGTGATTCTAAGTCGCACGGTTACTGATCAAAAATGAAACCTGAAATCTACAACTCCGATGTATTGCTCCCCGTTTTCGTCACAGAAATGTTCCTTTCGATCACCAGCACACCTTTTGTTGCGGTATCTAAAGCTTTTGTGGATTCCTTTTTTATATCCTTGTATGCAGTGTAGTACTTTTAGTTTTCTACTGAAGCTAGTACTGTCCTAGTTTTCTGTTCTACAAAACTATCTTAACCGAATGCGTTATTTCAGTCGGAACCAAATTCAAGATGAAAATATGGCCGAATACATTAAACAGAAATTAATAATGGATTTATTCAAAGCACGCAAAAAACTAAAAGAAGCCTTAACCCTTTTACCCCTTGGAGTGATTAGCATCAAATTTCTCCTTACAATATCACCTCTGAATCTAACATTAAGGTCATGAGAGTAAAGGAAATGATCATCATTTAAGAAACTCTTGATTGTTAAACAAATTCTCCTTATCAGCACCTTGAAAAATGTTTAGAGAAAAGCATGGAGAATATGCATACTGATATTAGGGTGTAAAGATTAAATTATTGAGTAAAATATACAAAACGAGTCGTCTCTTTGAAGCGTATAAAGTATCACAGCATGTCTGGACTGTCTACAGATGATATACGTGTCCGATTGAGCGTGCAAATCATGTCAGCCTCAACGACTCTCGATCTCAAGTAGTTCATTCTATCGATGCAAAATCCGAACGAAAGGTAATTGTCATAATTTTTATAATTGGATGATTTGAATTATACCTCAGTTTCAGTTATGACTAAACCACGTTCGTTTCTATGCAAACCCAAAACAAGTCGTCAAATGCAAGGTATTTACAGTACACCACAGTTATACTGATGAGGTCCGAGGTTAAGGTGGCCGAACGAAAATCAAACGAAGGTAAATTTGACGACAATTTCCTAAACAATGTTTGGCGTCTAGACACCAGGAAATGGGAATGTTTTATCATTTAAACAAGCGTATAGCTCATTGTGCCTCCCCTCCCACCTGCCAAGTTCTTCTGTTAGATGTGCCATCCATACTTCTTATACAAAAAGAAAAAGCATTCTCTGTTTGATTCTCCTCTCCCCAGCCCCCTCCCCACTACTTTCATGCCTCCACTCCCACCTGCCAAGTTCTTCTGTTAGATGTGCCATTCATGCTTATTATATGCAAAAAAAAGGCATCCTCTTTTTGATTCTCGTCCCCCCAACCCCCTCCCCACTACTTTCATGCCTCCCCTCCCACCTTTCAAGTTCTTCTGTTAGAGATGCCATTCATACTTCTTATATGAAAAGAAATGGCATTGTCATTTTATTCTCTTCCCACCCCACCCCCTTTCCCTCTCCAACCACCCACCTCTCGTCACTACCTTATGAATAGAGAATTATAAATCAGCCAAATGCAATATCGCTTTTGATCGTGAACTGAAGTGATTGCTGGCCCCGTTTTTTTTTATGATTTCATTTCATAACCTAAAAACGCTGGCAGCAGTATACTAATAAATGTAGGCAAACATAAAAATTATCTCGGGAGCCAAACGATCCATTAAGATTACTGGTCATTTCACGTGCACCCCTACTAATGTTATCTATTGTAGAACGTGCACTCATTGCAAAAAAGAGATAAATTGGTGAAACAGAAAGATGCCTAGGTGACTTACTCCGAGAACACCTTTGCGACTTAGAAAGTAATGACAAGGACGCATGCAAACCAGTTTCCATACACTTTAATCTCTCTTGTCATTCTATGCAGCACATGGCACTCTGCGGCGTTTCCTTACATCCATGCAGTTCGGAAAGCTGCAAAACTCTTCAACAAAATTTCTCTTTCAAATCGGCACTCTTAATCCGAATGGTATCAGACCACGCTCTCCATTCAACATATTTATTCCTGTTTTCTCGTCACTACATTCCCACCAATAGCGTAGCTCCATTTTTCAGCATATAAACCCACACACAACCCACAATTC